AGCAAATTCTTTGGCAAAATATCAGGCAAAACGAGATTATATTTGTCGATTTTTATCCAATGTTTTATAGCGTTGTACACTAATGGAATAAATGCCACTTACTTTGTTTATCTTACTAACTTTTTCCACACACTTCAACTCTTTTCTTGAACTCATGCTAAAAATAAATCGTATTTTTTTCTAGCTCTGTGTTTGCTTCTTATCCTTCACTTTATCGTTGCTTGTATTATGAGCTGTGAAAGGGAGAGCATGTAATGTTGTTGCTTCGATTGCTCGGCTTTAATGGGCTTTATAATTGCATTAATTTTTTTGCCGATTTGAAGTGGTGCAATTTAGTATAGAACGGCCGTTCCGTGGTTACGGATCGATATTTAACAATGATATTGTTATTCGGCGAAGGACTAGAAAATTTTTTCCCTGCGAGATGGCAAAACTGCTATAAAACTGTTTGGAAAAAAGTAGTGTTGAAGAAAAAAAAGGCATATTGGCTGAGTCTTGAATGTATAATTTTTAGTATTGAAGGTAGTGTTATATATCTGCAAAAAAAAAACATTTACAAATATTTTAAAAGAGCGTCTGGTGTACAGCGTTGACACAACTTACAAATGTCTGCTATTGGAGACACTGCACAGAATCCAAACTTGAAGTAGGATATCAGCTAATGGAAAATTACCTTCGCATTTTTTTTAATAGCAGTAATTTTCTAAGTATAAACATAAAAAGTATAAAAAAAGGGTTCTTTTGTTATAAAAAAATATACTGTCTTTTCTTTCTTATTTTTCACTTTCACCTTATCATTGCTTTTCTTTCTTATTTACCAGCCAGGAAGTTAACTTTATTAAATAAGGAAAGGTGAGTCTGTTCCAGAAATCGCTTGTTGCTGATACTTCCAAACAATAATTTTTTATAGAAGGGTTGTTGAAAATAATAACGCAATGGCTGAAAAACTTACTTGTTGATTGTTCCATAACGGGGTTCATGGAAAAGAATTGAATCTTCTCGATAAGTTTCTGGATATTCTCTGGCATCATTTGCCCACTGGGTTGTTGAATCCAAGCGAGATCTAAATGCAATTTTTTCCTCTTATTCAAAAATTACTTGGTGCTTTAATTGAAGCTGTTGCATAGTCCTTTTGAAAAATAATCATTAGGGCTTTTATTTAAATCATGTTATGGCAGGCACAAAAGAAAAAGGTACTTATGATTACGGAATCATTTTGATACCTTCTCATCCGTTCAGCTTCAAGCCTCTCCATTTTCCTACAGTAAGGGCAATCATCGCACCACCTAAAATGCGTTTGTTAAAATTGGACAATAAGTTTTCAGAGTACAATCAAGTTTTTATTCCTAATAACAGGAGAGGAAAGCTGCTTCGAGCGATAAGCCCATTTACCTACTGGAAGGACGGGAGGCAATAGAATCGTACAAATCGTCACTGTTTCTTACCCGTAATGTTTCAAACCTGTCATCATCAAACATAACTGCAAAAAAAAAATAGAACTTTCTGAAAATTTTTTTACAGGTACTAAAAGACTAGCTTAGCATGCAGCAAATAAGTCATTTTAGTTATTTTTAATGTAGTCAAAATACCGTGTGCGACGATAACTGCGTTTTACATTGTTTAAAGAATTTTTTAATTAAAAAATCACTGTTTCTCTTGAAAATGGTATAGCAAAAAAATATTATTTTTTATCAATATCTGTTTGATAAACCTTTATTATACGGCTGATAATCGGTATTTCTGTTCTGAGGTGGTGGCATTGATGGATACCGCCTTTGAGTTCTTGGCTGATATCTTCGTTCATAAGTCGGAGCTGTCATGTATGCTTTTCGATTCTCGTTTGCTCGATACGGGTCATCATATCCATCGAATCGTCTATCATCATCGTAATATTTAGTTTTCTAAATTGCATCAAAATGTTTGTATTTTTAACACCATTAAACAGTAAAAGGTGCACATAGTGATCGCTTATTTTTGTTTATGATTTAAAAAAAAATGAAGCGAAGAAAGAAGAATTGAAGAAATTCTATAAAGAAAAGAAATACCTTTTCTTTTTTTTTGAAAAGACTTTGTATTTTACTCAAAGGTTCAATTGAACCTTGATGAATGGAAAGTAAGTCGTTCTTTTTTTTTCAAAATTATTTGTAAAATAGAAGTGAAAAACCCTACTTGATTTGGGTAAGGCAGTTCATCTTCGTATTCTAACTGTTCCAAATCTGGTTTTTGAGGACTGGGATAAGTGGTGGTGATTACTTTTTTATAACCTCGTGGTTCATAGTCTGGTGGTGGTACATATGGTAGAGTAGTCAAGTAATCTGGAGCACCAACTTCAGGGTATTCTGTATTCTGATTGTACCTGAAACTCCCATGTTTAATAGGTCTCTTAATGATTTGCCGTCACAGATTTTTTAGCAGATGATGACTTGAATTGGTGAAAAAAACTAATACTGCATACCTGCTGCCAGTTCTTGAAAAAACTTTAAAAGGGTTTTATTTGGTTATAAATCTGAACTTGTCGCTTCAACAAAGATATCAAAAGAAAACATTAGATCAAAGAAAATGCCAAAAATGTGAAATTCTCTCACTAACTAGAGACTGTTTGTTATGCAGATGGTAAGTGTGTACATTTTAAATCAAATTTTTTGCTAAAAAATGACCTAGCAATTTAAATAAGATACTCCGTCTTTTGCTTGTAAATTAGCAGTGCTGAGTTCCACAATTTATTTTACTACATCAGGTAATAGGTTTTTGCTCCCAATTTTGCCAATCTTTTTGAGGTGTTAAAGATATTTATAAAAAGTAAAATATACTTTTTTGTTTGCTTTAAATTTTATTATAATTAAAGTTAATAATAGCAAAAAAAAAGAAAGAAAACTTTTGCATTAAAAAGAACATTTGCGGTAAAAATTATAATGTAAAAAAAGTAAAAGATTTTTTTGCGTAGACGTCTTCAATGTTCCTCTCCTGAAGTATAGCAGTATAATGACAAACAATAATGTATCAATCATTAATGACCAGTTTCTGAATATTTTACCAACAACAAAAACATCAGCAACAGCAACTACGATAAAAGCCGTTTTAAGGTGCTTCTCTGTGGCATTAAGTATTTTAACAGTTGACAGTTTAGTGGTATCAAAGAAGTGTAGGAGAAAAAGGAAAAAAAAAGCTATCAATAGCATATACAATTTACCTGCTCATTAAGAAGAATCGCTACAATGTCAGTTGTTGGTTGTGACTTTCCAGACAAGTTTATTGTTGTTTCTTCACTCTCTCAATATGGTTCTTCGTTCTCCTTCTTTTTTTTCCCCTCTCTGTTTGTTATCGCAAATTGCTCAATTTACTAAAACTTCTGGTCAATTTTTTCTGTTGTATTTCACCTATATACGGCTGAGGACATCAAAACCTAAAAGTGCAACATGGTTAATAGAATAATCGAAGTTTAAGCATCACGTTTAATTGAATAAACGATGCTGATTTATATAATATCGAACCAGACTTCAGTAATAGTGATCAAACTAAAGAAATAAAATTTAAGTATTTTATCAACACACAGACAAAAAGAGCTACTTATGGCTTACTTATTTTTTAAACAGTAGCTTTATCAACTTTCTTCTTTTCATTTACAGGTTTGGCTTTTCATTTCGCATTATTTTTTATCCCATTCGATTTTCACTGTTATACACTGTTGGCACAGTTTCAGTTATGCATTCGGTCCATTCAATGTCAACTTACTCTATCAGAACTATGAAACCGTTATAAATAAGAAAAAAAAAAAA